CTCTGGCTTCACCGCCATTCTGGTAGTCATAGATCGGCTATCCAAGCAAGCTATATTCATCCCAACCTACGACACTATCACCTCTCCAGACCTTGCCCAGTTATTCCTTCTTCACATGTTTTCCAAGCACGGAGTTCCATCCCATGTCACTTCCGATTGCGGTACAGAATTCATCTCACATTTCTTCCGTTCACTTGGGAAAGCACTTGACATGATCCTTCACTTCACTTCCGGATATCATCCAGAAGGTGACGGACAAACCGAGCAAGCTAACCAAACCCTAGAACAATACCTCCGGATCTACTGCAACTATCAGCAGGATAATTGGTCGGAACTGTTACCCGTGGCCGAATTCACATACAACAATGCTCCTAGTGCTACCACCAGAGTTTCGCCATTCTTCGCCAATAAGGGTTATCACCCAAACATTTCCATACATCCAGAGCATGATCTCTCCTCCACCCGGGCCCGGGATTATGTTATAGATCTAGATGAGCTTCATCAATTCCTCCAAGAAGAAATGTCTCATGCCCAAGCAAGATACCAGGGACCTGTGGATGCTAGACATAAACCTGCTCCGGACTTCAAAGTCGGAGATCAGGTCTTCGTCAAAGCAAAATATTTCTGCTCGACCCGACCATCAAAAAAACTCTCAGAAAAGAATCTTGGACCATTCGACATCATCACTTGTTCCAGTACCCACTCCTTCACCATCCATCTTCCAGATGCTATGCAATCTGTGCACCCTGTATTCCATGTCTCTCAACTAGAACCCGCAACTCCAAACACCATTCCCAATCGTATCCAGCCTCCTCCGCCTCCGGTACTAGTCGACGGAGAACCGGAATATGAAATTTCCGAAATCCTGGACTCAAAGATCAATTGCCAGAGATGTCACTGCCAACTACTTTACTTAGTACATTGGGCCAGATATGAGGGAACGGACGAAGAAACTTCCTGGATACTTGCCACTGAACTCGGAAATGCACCGGAACTTCTATCAGATTTCCATTCAGCATATCCGGACAAGTTGGGACCAATTTCTAACAATGAGTAAGAGATGACATGCATATATGTACATTAAGGGCGTCCGGATCCCATGACTTAGGGGTCTATTTCCACATCTCCGCCGGCCTCCTTTTCTGCCCCCTCAGCATTTTCCTCCTCCAGAGTTCCCTCCACATTCATCCGGAATCCGCCCCTCAGACCCTCTAAGAAGAGGTTCTGGAACTCCCTCTGCTCCTCCATGAACCGGAGCATGGTTTCACTCACCCAGTCCATACCAGCTCTGCTTCCCTCCGCCACCACAACACCTCTTTCCAAAAGCCCGTTGGTCCGGGTCAGTTCCGCCACAATATTGGTGGCAGCTGCAACCCAGGCCTGATCATCATACTCCATCCATTCCTGATCTTCTCCGATAACTGTCCGTGGATTGGAAACTATTTCCATGTCATCATTGATGTCCTCCAGACTCCGCTGACGTCTCTTACCCTTGCCCTTGGGGGACAGAGATCCTTCCGGACACGCGCATTTCTTACCTTTGCCTTTGCCGGCCGGTGCTTTGACAGGCAGATTTCCGCCAACGCACTTTTCCTTGGATGCACAGCATTGATCACAGGTCCAGATCTTTTGGAGAAATCAACAAACATCCGGATCCGGACAAAGCAGAAACTCACTCTAGGCGTCTTAGACGCTACTGCCCAGGTGCAAGTCTTGCGCCTAAGGACACACATCTTGCACGCAACCTCCGGATCCGCCGGACCAGAGGACTAACATTATAAACCTCTGGAAATCACAACACTGCATATAACTTACCTCCGAGGCAGCATCCACCATAGCCTTTGCCATACGCTCACGCTCATGTTCTGCCAACCTCTTGCGTGTCTCCTCAATATCCTTCTGCTTCTGTTCCTCCATACATTTCCATTCCTCTTCTGCCTCCTTGTGCTTATGTTCCTCTTCCTCCGCCTCTCTCCGAGTGTCCACCTCGAGTTGCGCCATTTCTGCCTGTCTCTCTTGAAGGAGCTGCCGGGTGGACTTCTTGTTGCCAGAAGTGGAGTTAGACATGATAAAGCAGTAATAGGAATTAGAGGGAAAGTTTTAGATGTCTCATGGGCGCCCCGGCCTTCTTATAGGTCCTGTTCTGTTTTTATGAGCTCCGCCCATCATCTCACATTCATCAAAGTCCGGACCGGACTTCTGAATCAGAAGCCTCGTGGGCTCGACCCTAAAGGGGGGATACTGTCATAACCTGTGTTCTGAACCCGGTGAAGGTGAGGAATCTTGACTATAGGTGAAACGCTAAAGCTAACGGGGGTTCTACAGTAAGACCAGGATACGAGAATACGACTCGACCCAAAGGACAGCTACTGAGAGAAGTTCCTCTTTAATGTAATGGAGGGAGTCTTTGCCAACTAGATGGGTGGTAACAGGCGCACGAAGGCGCGAGAAGATAACGCGCACGTAGGCGCGAGTAAGCGATGCGAGAGCGCGTGAAGGGCGCGCGCGAGCGAAAGATGCAAGGGGGCGCGCGCATATGCAGAAGTGTGCTTTTGAGCGATGGGGGAGAGTGTTCAAGTATAGCAGATGCGCGAGCGATGGTAGAATAGTGAAGTATAATCGGATTTCAAGTACTAAGGTGCACTTATACAATTTGCAGTATACTCAGATCAGGGAGAAGGGAAGGAAGTAAGTTAAAAGGAACTTTCCCTCTATTTAAGAAGGGAGATTACGCTATGCGGCGCGCTTCCGAGCGTGGTACCGAACCGAGTAACCATATCAACTCTAAATATATTCTAAAGCCTATGATAGACTTTCTGTATGTAAGCGCGGAGATCGGACCGAAGGTACGTCAATTCAGTGAAAGGGATAAGAATAATGCACCAGTAAATCAGCGAGGACATAGGATGGACAGACGGACAGACGGATGGACAAGGGTACGAAGGCCTAAGGGGAGGCACACGAGCGTGCGCGAAAGGCGCAAGTGCGTGTAAGGCACGCAAACGAGGCGCGTACGTAGGGCGTGTGCATGAGAGCATGTATGACTGATCCTTCGGATAAGAGCTGGAACGTGTAGGGAATTATGTGGGTAATAGGGCCGTATATTCCGCATTGAGAGGCGCGAGTCTCTACACCGGACCAATCACGCAATCATCTCTGGACTTCCAGACTTCCATATCTGGTTAGCTCCTATCTTCTGTGCCTTTTCCCTTTAGTATTTCCCTTATCAGTTAGTATGCTTTATTTTCCATCCCTTATTCATTTCCGTCTTCATTTTACTAAGTTCCGATAGACTAGTGTTAGGTGTTCCACATGCTCCATCCATAGCCTCACATAGCCTCGTACTGCGCTAACTGATTCTCCATTATGTCCTTCATAGTATACAAACCCTGTAAAGTCTCTGTATTTCCTCAGTTCAAATATTATCTTAGAATCTGCTCATTCCCTCCTCCGTCCGACTTGAAGTCTCTTCTCGTCGTCTCCGACAGTCTTAGGATCGACTCCTATTGACTTACCACCTCCCCCTCTACCTTAGGTAGTCCTCTGCTGTTTCCTTTCTAGTTCGGACATCGTCCGGATTAGTCTTATCACTTGTTCCCGAACATCCGCCGGAATTCCTGCGCATCGGACTCCGAACTCCGGATGTCGTCCATTAGCCCTCGGAAGTTAGGGGCACGTACTCGGGTAAGGGGTGCAGCGCACGAGCTGAAGCCAAGCCATTCGGATCCAAACCCTTGAGCACGTTCTTAACAGAGACACTACACAAAACTGTGTACAGTCAAAAGAAATTGATCTACAATATGCAGACGGTCCATAGTATCTCACTGGAGATTATCAATATCTGATATGTAGCCACTGCAGCAAGTGGAAAACAAAAAGTAGAACATGTGCAAAACATGAATGAGATGAAACAGCAATGGGAAAGAACTCTGAGAGAGCAGGAAGAGCAACTAGCAAAGGCCCAAGAGGAAATCAAGGTAATCCCTGCCGCAGTGTGTGACCACCAGACATACACTCATGACTGTGACAGAGGACCTGTGTCCAGCAGCAGCAACTTGAGGAACATATTAAAGAAACTCAGGAGGCACTCGGCCAGGCCAATCATGAAGCAATAGAGACTACTATACAGAAAATCCAGGAGGACACTTGCGACCACTTGGCACAAGAATGGATACGACAGGAAGCAGAGCTGAGTGAAAAACTGGTCCGACATGAGGAAGAGTTGAAGGAAAAGACAAATGAAGAGGTAAGGTGAATGATCTGACAGCAAAATGGTTTGATAACAAATAACAGTTGCGAGAGCACGAGAATGCGATACTCACTGGAATGGACAGGAGGTTACAGCAGGAAATGCTCAAGTTGAAGGTGAGAAATATATTTCATATACAATGGAAATGTGCTGAAATACTCACCAGGCAGAAAAAGAGAGCAAGCTCACTAAGATGGAACAGAGATTTTCTAGGCGTCATAAGTCTCAGAATGAGGACATAGATATGGACAACAATCCCACTACGTTGAGAGATGTAGGACATCCATCATCTCCATACACAAAACTGCATTTCAGTACCCCATGCTTTGAGGTGATTAAGAGAATAAAGAAAACTCGTGGAATATCACACAGGATCCACCTAGTATCGGTAGCATCAGAGGTAAGCGTCTGATTGCTGCTGACTGTGATTTAAACTTACACAGTAGTAGTCGGATAAAGAGGAAGTACCTCAAGAACACTTATCTGAAAAAGATGCACCACCACATCTACAGCACAATGCACATCCTGCTACCACGATGGAGGATGTAATTGTGAGAGGTGTAGAAGCCACACTGAGATGTGTTCTAATTGACAAAGAATTGCCAGTGACCAAAAAGCACAGTCCCTGGAGAAGGAAGATGGAGGAAAAAGAACTCCGGCAAGAGAAGGCAGCAGAGAAAAGCTATGAAAGAGACTTCCTTTTGGTAAGTCAAAATGTAGTATGGAAACTGCGACTTACAGTGATGTATAGGGAGAAGTGAGGCATCTCTTCAAGGATGTTTTCAACATTTCTCAAGATGCCGATTTTATACTCCATCAGGCAGCTAGTCATGAGGATGTCTACATATATGAATACAAAGACAGCCCAGGTCCTAATTGCAAAGATCTCATCTTTGACCTGAAATGTGGGTCCAAAAGCCCATGGAACAATAAAGTCATTGGCTTTCTCCTTGAAGAATTGCAGAGAAGGGGTACTCAAGAGAGCTGGCTGTTCTGAAGGTCAGAGGCGTATTTCAGGGAAGTTCTTCAAACCCGCTACAAGCGCCTGCATACAGTGTGGACGGCTGCACAACCTAAGGTTACAGCAAAGGGTGGAGTGGAGAGTCCTGCAGAGGTGGAACAGAGGCTGATAGTGAAGAAGGATGAGACATTGAAAGCAACTTGTCAAGCAATGCATCGGAAAAATGTATGTCCACGGGCTCCATATTATTCTGCTACTGACACCTTCTCAGAAATATGTTTGCAGAGTTACAGTTCTTAACCATCTCATTAAGCACAAGACCAATGAGAATGAGGAAGACCTCCCAGCCTGGCAGTGGCTTCAGCAACTAGTCAGGATGTTAGGAGATGGCGGCATGAGTTCGGAGGAGAGTGATGTTGAAAATGATATTGAAACAATTCTTTGTGTCAAGAACATGACTTGGCACTGTGCGATTGAATGGGAATTGGACATTATCAATCACCAAAGAATCGTAGATGACAACATTTTTGCCCCTCAAGGTTCAAAGCTGATGAAACAGATATGCTGTGTGTGAGGAATGATAGCTAGATGAGAAGGGGTGAAAGGGTGAAGTGGGGTAAAACTCAAATAGACCTCTGGACGCGAGGATATTAATCGGCCCAAGGGGATTGCTACTGAGAACGATTCCTCTAAGTAAAATATGAGGGGAAACTTGGAAACTAGTAAGAGTAACTGAGAACGGAAGAAGCGCGCGACATTGTGCTGATGCGATGTGAGTGTGAGCGAACTGCTGAAGGTGCAATATGATACGTGACTGAGCGGCCGAAAGTTTGACAGAGTGCGAAGGTGCAGAGAAAAGCCGAAGGATATATGAGCGAGCCTTTAGTGGCGACGCGAAGGTGATGCGATGCGACGGCAAAATGGGAGGAGAGTCTGACGATATGCACGATGAGCGAAGTACGAACATTTAGCGTGACCATTAATACAGCGCATGATGTAGTCAGCCGAAGGTTTTAGATTTTGAGTCTGAGTGTTGCGTGCAAACAGATGATAATTTCAATAGCGGGAAAAGTAGTTACATGAAAAATCACAAGTCCTTAGTATATATGATAGCGCGCTAAGCACAGTTCAGAGCCGAGTAGGTAGTGGTAATACATATCAAGGGTCCATAATGCAAGTAATGGAAACATAAGTGATATCACTTCGGAGATATGGTCAGTCTAACATAAATGAGATAAGGTATGCACCAATGGACAAGCAGAGGACATGGATAGGACGGAGGAAGGATGCGCAATGGAGCCGAAGAAAAGCGGATGTGAACCAAAGCACGCACGTGAGCCGCGGCCATTGGCCGACAATGTAAAAGATGCGCGCCACGGTAGTGATAGCGCGCACTGCGCTAGGACCTAAGGGACACTGCAAAAATAGCCTCTACGAGGCTACAAGGACTCCAAGTCCTACAACGCTCAGCTGGAAATCCAGCAACATCCAGAATGGAAGTGGATGGATTACTGTCATATCCCGTGTTCCAGACCCGGACCAATCACGCAATCATCTCTGGACTTCCAGACTTCCATATCTGGTTAGCTCCTATCTTCTGTGCCTTTTCCCTTTAGTATTTCCCTTATCAGTTAGTATGCTTTATTTTCCATCCCTTATTCATTTCCGTCTTCATTTTATAAAGTTCCAATAGACTAGTGTTAGGTGTTCCACATGCTCCGTCCATAGCCTCACATAGCCTCGTACTGCGCTAACTGATTCTCCATTATGTCCTTCATAGTATACAAACCCTGTAAAGTCTCTGCATTTCCTCAGTTCAAATATTATCTTAGAATCTGCTCATTCCCTCCTCCGTCCGACTTGAAGTCTCTTCTCGTCGTCTCCGACAGTCTTAGGATCGACTCCTATTGACTTACCACCTCCCCCTCTACCTTAGGTAGTCCTCTGCTGTTTCCTTTCTAGTTCGGACATCATCTGGATTAGTCTTATCACTTGTTCCCGAACATCCGCCGGAATTCCTGCGCATCGGACTCCGAACTCCGGATGTCGTCCGTTAGCCCTCGGAAGTTAGGGGCACGTACTCAGGTAAGAGGCGCAGCGCATGAGCTGGAGCCAAGCCCTTCAGATACGACCCTTGAGCACGTTCTTAACAATTACCTAAAGCATTGTACAATGAGGAATGGCTTGCAGGTTTGACAAAATGTCAGGTCGAGAGTTTATCAATCTTGGATGAAATATGTAAGTGGCTGAGAGTCGCAGCAGTGTAGCTTTGAATAGTGTAATGTAGCTGATAGTGTAGTGTAGGAGATGGCATTATTTGTACTCCTGGAGATATTGAGCATGCAGCACAAGAGTGGGTGGATGACAGCACTGTATGAGGGAATTAAAGTCAGGATGGCGATGGAATTAAAGTGAGTACATACCAGCCTGTGTCTTGAACTCATCCCTTGAATTCGCATTAGGGATCGCTTGGAGTTGGGTGATGAAAGCTGACATGGCAGTACATACTGCTGTGTCAGGACTCCAGGACGAGGACATTCTGCCAACAGCACCCCTTTTAGTGCCCTTTTCAATGGGCTCCGAGCATCAAGTGAATAAGGAGCTTGATGGTGACGATGGTATGTACCGTCATCTGTGTTGTTCCAAGTCTTTCAGACAAGACTGAGGTCAGGATAGCAACATGATTAAAGTGAGTATGCACAGAAATAATGCCTCGAATTTGCACTAGTGATCAATTGAAGTCAGAGTGCCAGGAATTCAGGACGATGAAGTCTAGCAGATACAACAGTACAGACCATCGTATCAACCAGTTGAAGTCCACCAGATACGACAGTACAGAACGTCATGTCAGAGGAGGAGAGCACAGAGGATTGATGCAACAGTACAGACCGTTGCACCATATGATAGAGGTTGTGCAAGTATGCAAGAATAGAAGGTAAGAAAGACAATTCGTCGGGAGGTACAAACACCCGCAAATAAAGTCACATGCAAAGCAAACATGATGGACTTGATCCAAGTCTTGTGCTATTGTTAGTACCAGTAAGCTGTGTGCAATGGTCTGTACTGTTGTATTCTCTCAATATTCTCTCAATCCTGTTCTTGGTCTGTCATGGGTAACAGTCTATACTGTTGCTCATTGTATCCCTCATGATCCTGTGCTCAGCTTGTCGTGTGCAACAGTTTGTACTGTTGCACATTTCTTTGGTCGCCCACTCCTCTGGTTAAGCACTATGGCGTCCACAGTAACTCCCAAGCTCCATGTATTCATACATGAAGGATGTACTTTCACATCCTTCAATGCCTCCTCACTTCCTGCCACGATCCCTCCTATTCCCTGACCCTGGAATCCCAACCTCGAGTTGGATTCTTCCTCCAACAATAGCAAGGATGCCTTGACCATGCAGTGGGCTTACAAGACATGCCCATGGTTTCCCCTTGTCATGGCAAACCATCATTTTGATGGGGCCATTGTAGGTATACAACACAGAGTGGGGCTATACAAAGATGGCTCCAAACTGATATCTTTATGTTGTGGTCTTGCACTGCCTAGTCTGCTATACTTGGTGAGACAAGTGTGTTTGACCCAGGGGTCTGCAGTCTGGGAATAGTTTTGGGGGTCAGTGAGTGATGTGGGGTCAATAATCCGAGTGTGGGAAACAATGTCCGAAGGTATAATTATGATGTCTGATGCAAAAGTGTCAGGTCCGATGTTTTCAGGTTTTCAGGTTCGGTTTCAGTGTATCAGAAACTAATAGTGACGTGATAGTGAGTGTCAGGGAAGCAAGTGGTATGCACAATAATAACAATGACAGATGTGGATGGTGAAGGAATGATGATATTCACAATGTCGACTAAGAACTACGAAATATTGGGTTTGACCCCTAAGCATCGGAGAATGACTCTCCTCTACTCAGATGATGATGATGCTATGGGGAGTCCAATATTTATGTAGATACATAGAAATCCAGAACCCTATAGGCAAAAGTAGTACGCAATATTTTGGGTCCAATGTCCTATGTAATAAGACATGATGTACTGCAGACTATGGGAATACATGTAATAATGTGGTTGACAATGTTAGGGATATGAAAACAAGTAACTACGCACCTAGTGGGGCTAGCGCAATGAGACTGGACATAGGTAAGACAAGTGTGTGTGATATGCGATAGGCCGATGCGAAACCCAATGCGATGTCCGATAGTCCGATGTCTGATGTCCGATGTTTTTGGGTTTGGTGCGTATTGAGTCGGATATGATAGGTAATGATTCGGGTAATGATTAGCATTTCAACATGCATCGGAAAATAGACCTCTATGAGGCCACAAGGACTCCAAGTCCTACACCATCTTTTCCTGCCTCAACCACTTGCTCTACTCCTTGCCCATAGAGTCTATGCCCAACGGCTGCTATATCTTGCGTGGGGACATTTGGCGAGAATGGGCGAGTCTAGAGCAGAAGTTACTCTGGTGTCAGCAACAGTTAGCAGTGAACATGCATTTCCCTTGGTACGGCCAAGCCCCAAGACCTCCGAAAGACTACAGGTACCTGAGGTCCCATGCTGATGTGAGGCTTGTAAAGAAGGTTGCTCTGAGATCTTGTGACACATTTTTAGGTATGGTGCTCATCTCTATGCACTGATCATGGCTGATTGTGTTTGTTCTCAGGGATATCAGCTCTGTGTACATACTTCATTATGGCTCGTCGATATCGACTCCACAATGATTCCTCTACCTGGACTTCTCTCTTGATAAACGACCCCAATGTCCTATCCTATCTGCATGGATAATGGAACTTTCCCGCACATTTGTCAGGGATCTTACAGATGCTGTACCATGCAATGGTACGATTATCAATGGTGCCTATAGCCTGGCCTGGGACACGGATGTGATGATGTTTGAACACTTTAAAGTTCTGATCTGGGTGCATTGGCCTCATGACATTCCTGGTAACAAGATATGGAAACGCTACCTGCCCTTGGCAGAAGATCTTGCTGCAGTGACTTGTACCACCTCAAGCGAATTGCAGAACACTGATCCATGGGGCGTTCAGTCTGATTCCCATTCTTGGGTCACCCAGTCAAATGATACGTGGGATCCTGAGTCAAGCCAGCCAGCACCATTGACCACTTGACCTCAACAAGACCTCTCCCATTTCCCGCTTCCCCATAAACATAATGGGCAGAGGCATGGCGAAGATTGGCAGGCTTTTTTGCGCGCCGAGCCATTCAGAACGCAAAGAAGGAGGAAAAGGAGACCCCAAGTCAATGACAGGCTTGTCTGAGTCATCAACGTTCAGCTGAGAATCACAGCCTTCCTGGCTGGTCCAGTAGGATTTGGGTCTTTGAATGGCAACCTCAAGATGAATACAATGATTTCATGTTGTGCACACATGTCACGAAGGCTGAGGTTGAAGAAGTCTGGAGAAACTACAGCAAGTCCACCAGAATCTTCAACTCCTTCTCCAATCAGTGGGACTTGTGTCTCACACTTGACCCCACTAGCATCCCTGACGGTGATGATCGGGAAGATGACGACAATATCATGCCTCCCCTCCCCACAACTTCTCCTTCACAAGTTCCACCTCCAGCCCCTTCCAGTTTTGCCAATGATATATACACTTACTTCGGCAGCAACATTTCACTTTCATCCAGACATACAGATATTGAAGGATCCATCCCCATCTTGCATTACTACTTCGTATATCAAATCACCGCTGTGATACTCACATCCTCCCTGGGCTGCAAAGTGTGTCTTTTGATATTGCTGTCAAGGAGTATGGAAAGATATAGGTTCTGTCTCATCTTCTAGTGTTCCGATGGCAAGGATACCTTGGTCGACACTGTCTGACATACTCCCACAGGCATGTCCACTCCGCACTTCGCATTTCCATTCCGCACTGTCCATCCATGTCCTTTCTGTGTCCACCTATCTCCCCTGGTGCATGTTCATTTTCTCTCGGTTTGACTAAATGATATCAAGGCTTATTACATGTAACTGTGTATTCCATTCCGCACGCATTCTCATTACATATTACTTATCTGCCTCGTTTCATCGCTACAGTTCTCGCCTATGGGTTCCAGTTGCTCACGCAGTAAGATAAAACCTCGTGCGCTACATACAGTATGATACTTCCCTTCCCTCAGACGCTACCTTTGTTTTGCAGAGTCACCTTAGATGTTCTTAGTACTTTTGATCAATTGACAAGCTTTGTTCATCCTCACTTTAAACCTGCGTGTTCTTGACCGCTCCGAGAATGCGCCTCTAAGTTTCCTTACCTAGGCTCTGCGCAGACCCGAACCGCTCTCGGTTTCCAACTTAGCATTTCCATACCTAGTTATACCTCGGCCATAAACCTCGCCTATACCTAGCCGCTACTTGCAGAACCGCACTTTACCTAGAAGTCTGCCACTCTTTACCTAGGATCCTCTCGCTTTCGTCCATTTCGCATTGCGCACTCACTGGACCCGTGGTCTCGCTTTTGCTCTTATCGGTGGACTTACCTTTCCAAGGTCGACTTATTTCTTTTCCGTTCTGTGTTTGCTCCCTTCGCATTTTACTTGAAGGAAGTGCTTTATAGCAATCCTCTTGGGTCGAGACAGCACACCTGCACTCAGTTGGATTTACTAGTGCTCTAGCTTTCTTGCTGGCCAGTCACTATTACTTCTTCACACCGCCCTACCTCTTCTCCCTTGGTCATAACTAACCTACCAGTGAGCAACTGGATTAAAGCGGCAAAATGGGATCAACTTCACAAGCTCCTTGGTGATTCAACAGCAGAAACAGGTTTGATCACAGAGCCACAATGCCAATGCATCATGAAGTTCATTGCATGTCTCATCAACTTTAAGAAGTGTGACATGAATGCAATCCTGCCTGACCTCTGGGATCTTGGGCCCCTCTCGTCTCTACAAATTTCACATGCTTATATTCATATCTCTGTCATGCAGCTATCGCAATGTTGATATTATATCATCGAGCCCCACGAGTCACCAAATCTTGTCGTTTGGACTCTGGCTGTCCTCAGCCCCACTACTGCTGTGATGTGTCTGTGCTGTAATTGGGGCTTAGACATGAAGCAGATTGTGTTAGCTTTGCTTAAAAGAGGCATTGCATTCAGGACCTTACAGCAAATGACTGTCTCGCCCAACCGGTGCTGCCCAATCTCTGAACTTCATACTTACACATTGGGACATCAGCAGCCTCCCTTTAGTCCCCTATATGCCAATTACATCATGTACGAGCAGCTACACCATGAATTTATGAATTGTCCCCAGGTGAGGGCTGTGTTCCTGCATGGGGGACTCATGGCAATTGGCTTTGCACAGCCTTGGTTTCGACCATCTTCCATCTGTCCTCGACGGTATTTCAACTGAAGCTGTTCCATTTGGTGAGCTATTGGTTGGGCATGGTGGTCAGACTTACTACAATGATGGGTTGTTGGAGGAGGAAATCGATTTCATGTGCAGAATGTACTACATAGATCTCCGTAAGCTTATAAAACATTATAACAGTTCAGTCCCATCAATATTAATAATCACACTTTCTAGGTGATGGCCCAGAGGTAGTTTCATGGTGGCCTCGCCCCAACACTTGGAATGCATCGGGCTTGAATGTTGGTTTTTGGTCTGCTTGCTGTGAAGATTGGTTCCAAGGACGTCTTGGCAACCTTCAAGAGGAAGTTTCCTGCATGCGACATTCACTCACTAAGGATGCCAATGGTCCAATGACCTCCACACAATGGAAGTGCTCCCTAAAATTTCAACCTGCAACCAATAAAATCATGCGCAACATTTCAGCAGCATGTTATGATTTCATGGCAAAAGCATCAGGTAAGAGTTCCCTTGCTCCCTTTCTCATTTATGCTCACAAGTTTTACATAGTTTGGGCTGAGACATAGTTTTACATTGCTACTACAGTTGTATGATAATGAAAACATTTTTTGCTGATTCAGTCTGATCGCTGTTTTGTGCTTGTTGCAGGTGGTGAGTGGGCTACGATTGAACAATGAGTGGGCAATGATCAGGCAATTTATTTTGTCCAAGTGTGAAACTTGAAGTTTTGTCATCATATTTTGTCACCAGCATAAACTTCATATTTTTGGTAGCCTCTAATTGTTGGACAAAACTTGAAATATTGTCAAGCATATAGCTGCAGATTAAACTTCAAGTTTCGTCCGAAGTTTTATGTGATAATTAAATTCAAAATTCAAGCAGACACTGAGAAGCTGACTATATTTCTTATTTGTGTTGACATACAGTCGGTGAAAAAATGGTGGCAGATATTTCATATTTTGGATTTCGCATATAACACTGACTAAATTTGAAGTTATATGCCCATCTTTATGTCAGTTCAAACTCCAAATATTTTCTTCACATTTCGTACAACATATAAACCTATCCTAAATATTGATAACCCCGATGTGAGAATTGCAGAAAGTGCGGGATTTGGCCAGTCTGCATCAGGTCTATACAGACAAGTCACAGACTCCGTGTTAAAGTCTGGGGGACAGGTCTGCCAGCGGTTGTCCGGAAAGTGCCGGGAAGCCTATGTTTGTCTGCCCGTGTCCCCCAGACTTTGGGGCGGAGTCTGCGCAGACTTAACACAGACCGGCCATTTCCTACATGCCCTCGAGAATCGGCGCAGACGCTCAGCTGGATTCGTGGTGCCGGGACATTCCGGCAGGCTGCATGACCCGGCACCATTATAAACCCTTTGTACAATTTTGAAATGCCCAACATATTACGCCAAGGCAGCTGTTGGAATGGTACAATGTCTTGACATTTTCACACGGCGTCTTCGGTGTTGTTGGAACTGGCACCCGCCTTCGAACAGGGCAAACCAAGAACTTGTGATTTGTATTCCACATCTATACAATTAATGGAGAAGTTTGGTAAACAGTGAACCCATCTCAAGGCACAGTTATGGCAACTACTGCCCTATCACATTCGCCAACTGTGTTGTCGGAATTGCCGCAGCGTAGGCTTTCCTTTGAAGCCTTGTTTGTGTCTTCTGTTCGTAGGCATATGCAAAACTGATAAGGCTATACTCGCTCCATGCTGTTCCAAGGAACGAAAGTCCAATGGGGACGCCTGGAGCCGGATACACAGTCTCAGGCCCAGCACTACCAATTGTAACATTCTCTGGATAGAAACCCAAAGGTACTTAGCGCCGGGAGCATTAGCCAGTCAGATAGTCAGATATTGAAGAGATTATTTACCCGTGACAATCGGATATCCCGCGATGGCTGCGAGAGTACCGCGTCTGAGTCCATGTATGAGAAACATATGTTCAACACGAACCTGCAGGGACAGTCGTATAACCTGGTGCAGGGAGCACCAGAGCGTCGAGAGCATACATCTTCAGGGCAGCATCAATACCATTAGTGGCGCCAAGTTCCTTGTCAAACGCGAGAGATTGGTAATAAGATGCATTGAAACCAGTAGTTGCTTGTGATTCGATCAAACTGCAGCAATTTCAGTGAGTATAACGGTGTCCTTGAAGGGTACCCACATAGACTGGTCCGTGTATCCGGCGGGCTCCTCAAGCGTTGGGTTGTTATTGTCGAACATGATCAAGTCCTCAAGCGAAGCCACCCCTGATGGGTTTGCGACAAGACTGTCAAACCAGGCATTAAGTTGGACCTGCCAAATTAAAGTGTTAGCACCAAATTTTTTGAATGCTTTAAATGTGCTCAAATACCTTGAAGTCAACATCCAGCACAACGGTCTCATTATTAGACTCATAGATCTCATACGCCGAAGGCAAATCAGTGGGGTCTACAATTGTCGCGCCCAGAATCTGTAGCGTCTCCAGTGCCTGCTCGAATATTTGGTTCACGTATGGATCATTGCCGGTCAAGCTGTCATTCAAGAAGACTGTGCGAGGCACTCCAATGCGCTTGCCAACAAGCGATGTGTTACTGAGTGCCATGATGTAGTCAGGGACGGGCATTGGCTGTGCCAGCGTAAAGTTGTCATTAGGGTCTGGGCCAGCGATGATGGAAAGGACAATGGCGGCATCTGTGACGGAGCGAGTGAGCGGACCCACTGTGTCTTGGTGCTCGGAGATCGGTATGACTGAAGATAGGTTTGTGAACCTGATAAGAGATGGGGCAAGACAAAACTTACCCCCAGCACGGGATGTTAATCCCACGGTGGGCTTGATGCCTACCACATTGTTTTGATTCGCCGGACATGTGATACTTCCATCTGTCTCTGTCCTGTCTCTCATATCAGTTGAAGTGCAAGTGTAAGAGAGTGAACTGGACCGAACCCAAGAGCGACGGCAGTCAGGCCAATAGATGCAGAGACACCAGAACCAGCCGACGAACCACATGGGTCGGCGTTTGGGTAATATGCATTCGTGCATTGCCCTCCACGTCCTGACCATCCAGAGGCGATGTTTCCACGGAAGTGTGCCCACTCGGACAGGTTTGCCTTACCTGCAGTGGCGTACTGTGTTGAATTCTGATATCATACTGCGCCTTCAGGAAACATACCGAGAATAATGGCCCCTGCCTCGCGTAATCGCTTCACTACACCTGCATCATCCGGAACCACAGAGTTCAACAAGCTATATGACCCCGCAGTCGTGTTCATTCCTTCGTGTGTCGCTATAACCATCGACTTTCCACTCCACAACATTGAAACACACCTTCAAATGCTACAGTCGCAATATTATCTTTCACAAGTACAGGGATCCCATGGAGCGCACTCCGTGGTCCGTAGGTAAGGCGCTCAAAATCCAGCACTGCAGCTTCCTGGAGCGCAGACGGATTTGTTTCAATCACAGCACGAAGCACCGGCCCTTGCAAATTAACTTCTTCGATGCGGGCGAAATATGCCTGTCAAATCAAATTGCACAACCATGTCCATAACTCCATTAGTATTACTGCAGGCGATTTATGATATGCAAGACTGCTAGCATGCTTACAAACCTTGATCAGGTCAACACTCGTGAACTGCCCCGAAGTAAGGCCCGCTTGAAGTTCAATCACAGATGCCTCGTAAAGATCGGGTAGAGGCGTTGTGATTGACGCGGAAACCACCGGTCGGGAGATGTATAAGGACTGGCCAAGCGCTAGCCATGCCCAGAAGAGAGTAAGTAGTTTTGCACCCATTTTTGCGTGCAAAGGAGAATATGAGAAAGCAGAAGGTCAGCACGTAAGTGAGCGACGAAATGAGCTTGGTTCAAGTACCCCCGAGCGGAGCATTTCTCAGAGGTCACTTGAGCGATAACGGTGACAAGCAAGACGTTGAGACAAGGTTGACTTCTCCCACGACTGAGCAGACCTGCATGTGGTCCTTGTTAGACATTCAAATTTAGCAGAGATAGCAACTATTGATCATGCGTACCAGGGGAAGGATATCATTTTCTAGCTTGGTGCCAATGAAAGGCTTATTTGCTTAGGTCGAGGTCGAGTTTTTGTGCCATCACTAGATCACGCCCGCACACTCTGTCCGTCATAGGAGAAGCTGATAAATTGTTCGGCATTGATTGTCGGGAGCGGGGAACTCGACAGCATGATGCTGCAGAGATGAGTTCAAAAAGGAAATTATATAGTACATAATCGGCCTCCAGCAGCGGAGCGGTGTACAGCTTCAAGTTTGAAATTTGAAATTTGCGCCCTGGCACGCGCGAGACGCACGCAGGCGGACTAAATATAAATTATGTAAATATTGCGGATGAATATGTCGTCCCGCGGATTTATTTACGTAATTTAAAATACAGGAACATAGACTCTTTCTATTATATCATGGGGGTACACGCATGACTGCCTTGCAGATGGGCCTACTTACTACAGGACCCGGCGTTGAATGGCAGAAGCCCGAGGTTGGTTGCCTCCATACATTATTAGACTATCTAAAATATCATTCAGTATCATTCTCACTTCGTTACACAGGTCACCCGTGGGCCGCAGCAGCTGGCTGCCTGGCGGAATCAGCATGACAAATACCTGCGTACGGCTGTGCACTCAGTGCCTTCGGCGAGACACGCACGTCAGCCCAAATCCTAGTTTCGCACATAGACATTTGATTAACGCGGCAGGCCCGAAGTCATCGCTATACACACATTATAAGCAGATTCAACATTTGTGAAGAGCAGCTTCATCTACCCCAGCATGCCAGTTACCCATATCCTTTGGAAACTTGTTCTTTCAGCAAGCTCTGCACTTGTTGCGTTCGGATGTTGGAAGTTAGGAGAGCGAGTATGGCACAATCTTAGGTCCCCACTGCGCGTACTACAAGGCCCAAAAGGAACAAGCTGGCTATATGGAAACTTGAAGGACATTTTCAAGGCGGTATAGTTATTCATCGAACTCACCATCGCGCCGTCCTCATTGAAGACTTGCAGGAAAATTCAGTCCTTCATGAGCAATGGGTGGGGCAATATGGGACGACCCTGAAATATAAAGGGTTCTTCTTTGTATGTTCAATTCCTCCTGCATTACAAAACTTACCACATCTAAAATTCTTTCTCAGTCAGACCGATTGTTCACGATGGACACCCGCGCACTGAACCATGTTCTCACCCATAGTAGCGATTACCAGAAACCGTCACAAGTCCGGTATAATCTCTCTAGAATCTTGGGCGAAGGTGCGTGCCAGTGTGTCTACTGTTATCCCAGAGTATCTGACATCATCTCAGGTGTCCTGTTTGTTGAAGGTGCGATCTCGGCTGCATAATATTCACACTTCCATTAATGGCGGTCTCAAGGGGCTCAACATCGTCAGCAGGTCTGTTTTGACACACATCTCAGTGTTATGATACTGACGCCATGACTCAGAGAAGGATCATGGTATGATTTCGCCTTTGTTTTCCTTGGACCCATTAACCATGTCTTCCGAAGAACCCCGCCTTTGGACCCGCCCAGATTCGCGCACTAACGGACATCTTTCTTAGCAAATCGATCAAAGTAAGCTTGGTTTGTTTCTTACTAGATATGGATAATGTCGACGCTGCTGTTTTTCAGCTTCGAGACATCTGGTCTACCATGACCGTTGCCAGTGAACACGCGGCTCGGATAGATATCATGCCCTGGCTGAGCAAAATGACGCTGGACGTCATCGGGCTTGCAGGTATGTCCTTTCCGAAGAATTTTCCTAGCAATACCTAATGAGTGTCGTAGGTTTCAACTATGAGTTTGACGCCCTGAATGCGACCGATAAACCTAATGAACTGAATCAAGCCTTCTCGGTTATGTTTTCTGCCAGTCAGCAGATTAGCATCATCCCCATACTTAAGGCATGGATCCCTTTGCTCCGATGGATTGTAAGTTTACCATTGCTACCTGACATAAATTGCTGCTAACTCCCTTCAGCCCTCTGATCGCGATCGCAAGATAGATGCAGCCCAAAAAACGATGGGTCGCATCGGCAGCCAGCTCCTGCATGATGCTAAAGCCGCCGTCATATCCTCTCACAGCGCTGAAAAAGGTGGTTCCATTGAGAAGAGCAGTCTTCAAGGGCGCGATTTACTTAGTTTACTTGTTCGTGCCAATATGGCAACCGATATCCCCGAAAACCAGAGGATATCGGACGAGGATGTACTTGCGCGTATGTTGTCATTTGGAATTATGCGTGCAGAGCGCTTATGGCGTACTTAGAGGTTCCGACCTTTTTGGTCGCAGGACATGAGACCACGAGGTGCGGATGTCACTTGTTGTAGAAGATAATCCACACTCACACAGTCGAATAGCACGTCAACAACTTGGGCACTCTATGCGCTCTGCCTACGCCCGGACATTCAAACCAAGCTCCGGGAGGAACTCTTGACAGTGGAGACCGATACTCCGTCCATGGACGAACTCATGGCGCTCTCGTATCTTGACGCGGTTGTGCGCGAGACACTTCGTTTGCACGCTCCCGTCCCTAGCACAGTTCGCATCGCAATGAAAGATGATATCCTCCCAGTGGACACGCCTTTTACGGACAAGTATGGAGTGGTTCATAATGAGATCAAGTATGTTGCCAGCATCCCTTTCAATGATCATCAATATCTCATCACAGTTGCATCAGGGTTAGCAAGGGCGACCCGATTTTCATCCCCATCTTGGCAATCAACAGATCGGAGGCGATTTGGGGCGCCGATGCAAAAGAGTTCAATCCTGACCGCTGGGCATCACTTCCAGAGGTGGCATCGCAAGTTCCTGGGGTCTGGGGACACCTCATGACGTTCCTCGGTGGTCCGCGCGCGTGTATTGGGTATCGCTTTTCACTAGTGGAGTATGTGTGCTGCAACCTTCATTTCATTTCCAACAATAACGACCCTTTATAGGATGAAAGCTCTCCTCTTTACCCTGATTCGAGCTTTCGAGTTCGAGCTTGCTGTTCCTGCTTCGGATATCGGAAAGAGGTCGTCGATCGTACAGAGGCCGTTCTTACGCAGTGACCCAGAGAACAAAGACCAGCTTCCCTTGCTGGTGAAGCCGTATTGCAAGACCTCAGGACTCTCGTAATCATATTCTTTAATTATATATCAGGTGCCTTGGAAATGATGAAATGTTTTCTGATGAAAGAATAATTACCAAAGTGTAGCAGCAGTTTTCTGTATGGACAAATCACTTGGATCACTCAAGATTATAGATGATCCCGTCTATTCGAATTTGATTCCGGTATGCGAACTGATTACTATCCAACTACCTATCAGTTTCACGGATTACTGAGATAAGAGTTGAGTGAATTTCTCAATGTGAGCTTCACAAAGCGCAGAGAAGTAAAACTCGTGTTCAGAGTTATGGGGCTGCACGAGGTTGTGAGCGATCTCGTGGGCCAGCGTGAAGTACCTGGGGAAGATTATTGTTTCAATAACTTTAAGCTGAGATGATGCCTTACCAGGAAATATAAGCCTGATTGATATTCCCATTCTTTACGTCTTGATCATCTACAGTTGACAGTATTAGGAAAGCAAGGAGCTCCAAGTATGCACACGCACGCCATGCCTCGAAGAAGCGGTAATTAAGAAAGAGACTGCCGTTCCGATTAAAAGCGATCAAGCCGCCTTCTAGGTCGTAAAAGATGTGAAGTGCGGTCATCGGAAGACTATAGACGTTTGCAAGAGGCGTGACAATGTGAATAAAGCGCGCGAGAGAATCATGCTTCCTCGTAACGAAGGTACGGGGTTCAGGAACATCTATACAATAGATGTGAATGCTGCGTCGTGCAGGACAGTGGGACACTCACCTCGAGCGATGAAGATTTTCATTGTACCCATAACACCTGCACATAATTAGCGTCATTAAGCTCAGGACCTAATTCACTACTTACCAATGTGATCAAGCTCAGCGACATGGCCGGAGATATCACAATACCCCTCATCTAGAGATTCCTTGATTGTTTGCATCTCGCGCCTGTTGTGTACTAGCTTCCCTTCCTCTGGTCTGCAACCTTTGATCGCCATCGCAACATTGGATCCTAGCAACATGTTAGGCAAGCATTTTGACAAGCATAAAATGGATTTCTCCAAGCTCACGAATGTTGCTCTGCGGAGTCACAGTTGGAGGTGTCCTAGGAGATCTCTAGTTCAAAAATATTGTCTCGCCTCAACAATTGACTCTCTTACCTCGGATTTTGAGACCCCTGTGAGAGAGTAAGAGCGTCTTCCGATGAACTGTTGAAACCAGGTATCTTGCGCCTGATGTTCTGCAGTGTGTTATTCACAATATTTGGAATAACGGGATGTCGTCCGACGTCTTCATTGCCGACCGTATGTTGAGGGGGCGCATCGGGAGTAGATGGCTTTGGTGGTGGCACTGGCGGAGCTGTAATAAGGGGTGGAGCTGGAGCGGGTGGCAAAACGGGTTTTGATACTACTGCCTTGGGAGGTGAAGTATCCCAACCCCCTGGGACTTCAGTGCGATGCGAGGGAGACAATGAACGCGTTTCAGACTTCAAACTCTGACTCATGCGTGGGTCAGGTATTGGTATCGATGTAAAGCTTCCTCTGGCTGCCTCCACCGACTTTCGGTCATTCTGTTGTCTCAAAATCTTATCCACTGAAACAGTACATCGGGATTTCAGTAAAATGAGGGAACTAGGAAACGCACCGTTATAACCTCTCCGTTTCAGAGCCTTCAAGTCGGTCGAAAGGATTGTCATGAACAAGAGCGCATCGTTCACTTTTACCGTCTCGAACAG